TCATGAGGCTGGCTTGTGCCCACCCCTGTAGCTAGCCTAAAGGTCGAGCTGCTTGGAAATTGAAGCTGAGCACTTGAAAATGGGCAAGGGGTGACAGAGTGGAGGGAGGAGCCCAGGAGCAGCCTGGCACTCACAGGCAGCCACCTCCCGATGTCCCCGGTGTGCAGCCAGCCCTCCGCGTCCAGCGCCTCCGTCGTCTTCTCCTCGTCCTTCAGGTAACCCTTGAACACATTTGGTCCTTTCACACAGATCTGCAAAAACAGCCAGAGGTGCTGAGAAATGATTCTGTTATTCTGCTGGAAATAATAAGGAGCTAAAGAGTCATTCACTGAAATGGAAATATTTCCAGGGTTGATTTAATGACTGCGCTCCGTGAAACTTAAAGATGTTGCATTATGAAATTACCTATGGATTATGTAGGGGTTTTTTCCCCCAAATTAATAGAAATATGAAGTAAGGATTGCAAAGCTTATTTGTTTGAAGTTGATTGGCACTCAGCTTGCCATTAAAAGCAGAAAAAGCCATTTCAGTGAGTTTAATTTATGTGCAATATAGAAATAACAGCAATGTAGAAATCAACAGCAATTCAGCTTTTCTGAGCTGAACTAATTAATGCAGCCTCAGCTGTTAAAGTAATCAGGCTGGAAGCACTGGTACAGCCCCTCTTTAATTGCTACTTTGCTGCTTTATGGCCAAATTGACATTTTCCTGTCCTGACTGTAACACATAACACAGCTGCAACCATGCACCTCACAAAGGTAAAATGCTTCTATAACTACACAGCTACTTAATACAGCGTAAACTACTGAGAATTTGATATAAAAATTTGGTTTGTTACCTCTCCTTCACCTTTGGAAGCAAAATAATTCAGCTCTTCCACATCCTTCAGTCTGATTAAGTTACAGGGTAAAGGGGCTCCTACATGACCTGGAAATCAAAGTTATTAAGTCACTTGGCATCTCTCCTATAAACAATAATTAGCATTTTATCATTAGTTGCTTGCATAGTTGTAGACACACTGCTGGCTGTTCTTGCAGGACCTATGTCTGTGTGCAGAAATAATTGCCTCATTTAAGGTTTTGAACTATTAAGACTAAATACCCAAACCTCCTGTTTGGATACAAACCCTATTTTCACACACGTGGAAGTACAGACCACATCTCCCTTCCCTGAAAACTCTTTTTTAAGCTTAAATCATTTTAACCCCACCCCTACAGTTTCTCCAAAAATGAAGCAAGGAGAACCTCTGCTGCAAACAGCAAGCACTGCCAGAGTACTACAGGGTGGAAAAGAGTCCAGTCTCCCCCAAAACCAGCCACTACAGCACTACAACAACAGCCACTAGGAAAAAGACTGGAAAAAGAGGAGCATCTATCTCTTTTTATAAAGAGTTTTTATAAATATTGATTAATTGCATGAAGGAATTAATCTGCAGTACTTGTATCTATTAGCTGAATCATGCTTGGTGCTAGTTTTTAGCTAATTTTGTCAAGATTCAGAAGTTTTGAAAGCCCAAAGTGTATGAAGTATGGAGTAGTGGTGGATCTGTACTCAAAGCCTGGGTTTGCTCACTGAGTACACAAATTTATTAATCTTTCTGTTGTTCCAGCATTTCACTGTAACAAACACCCTTTTAAATTCAGCCCCAGTGCTCTGGAGAGGACTCAGAGCACCAGGAGTGCAGAGATGAGATCAGAGCATCGCAAATAACAGCTCAAGGGACAATTCCAAATCTCCCAAGGCAAACGTGCCCAACATCTGGTCCCTGTGTGTTTATTCTGGACCAGTGACACTTCCACAAACATTACATTCTCTGGAAATTATTCACACAGTGGTGAATGTTGTATAACACCCTGGGATGTTACAGCCCAGGATTTTCTGAAGAAATGTGCATTTCTTTGCTTTCTGCAAATGGTGAAAGAAACTTTTTACCTGATGTCCAGTCACCTGGGGTTGTAAAGGTGCATCCAGCTGTGCATTCTGTTTGGCCATACCCTTCATAAACCTGACAAAGCAACAGGTATCTTTAAAATGGCATTGATGATTTCACTATTCTAGAATAAAATTCTAAAAATTGCTTTTGGTTGCACAGTCCTGAGAGCTGATCCTGTGGCTGCACTGTGCAGGCACACTCTGAACACAGGGACTCTCATCCTACCCAAAACTTCATTGACCTGACTGTGGATTACCATGGCTCTGCAGAGCTCAGAATAGTGAGGAAGCAAGTTCAGCACTTAGCTCTTGAATCAAGAAATACATTCCTCTATGAGAGGAATTTATTAGTGGGGAGAAAAAAGGCATTTCTGTGGGACAGCTTGAAAATACACCTTGTCATTTCTTTCCACACGGTTTCAGGCTCTTGAATGAAGTCTTTTAATTGTCCTTGGCTTCCTACTCAAAGAGAAATAAGGCAGTGGAGGTCTTAGGTGGTCTCAGCTCCCACCTGGACATTATCTTTCTCCATTTCTGTATTGAATAAACCTCACGAAAAAAAGTTCCCAGCACATGCATGAGCACATTTGATTGCACATAGGTGCTCAGAGGTGGGTGGGATGAGCCTGTGCCTTTTTTTTGGCTGCTCTCTTCCCCCTTCCCAGGGCCACCAGTCGTTCCCACCCCACCTCCAGAGCTCTGGGGACACCAGGCTGCTGGGTCTGCCCCACGCCCCGCGGCTGCCGTTGGATCGACGTGGTGACGCCGCCCTAACCACGGTTCTGAGGTTCTAACCCATCTCCTCTCTGAAATGTGGTGCCTTTCCTAGCTGACAGTAGCTGAGAACCTCCCCAACGGCCACGGGAGCCCACCTGGCATCCGAGGGCTGCACGGAGGAAGCCCAGGACGGTGGGGGACGCGGGGGCAGCGCCCGTCACGATCATGCGCACGCAGCCGCCGAGACTGGCCTGTGGGGCAGCAGGAGAGAGGCACAGAGAGCACCATCAGAGCCTACAGCTGGCAAACCACCAGCAGCAGGGGGGATTGCTGACACAGAGCGGGCACAAAACGCTCTCTCTGGAACAGATGGAGCTCTGCTATGGAAATATGAACTGGCTCCGAATCCCAGAATCTCATCATGGTGGGGTGGGAAGGGACCTCTGGGGATCATCTCCTCCAACCCCCCTGCTCCAGCAGCTCACCCACAGCAGGGTGCCCAGGGTCACATCCAGGTGGGTTTGGAATCTCTCCAGAGCAGGAGGCCCTGCAACCCCTCTGGGCAGCCTGCTCAGAATCTGGCCCCATCACCTTGCCCCCCACCCTTCAGCTCTTGATCAGCATCGATCAGATCCCCTCTGAGTCTTCTCCAGGCTGAACACCCCCAGGGCTCTCAGCCTTTCCTCCTCAGAGATGCTCCAGGCCCCTCAGCATCCTCGTCGCTCTCTGCTGGACTTCCAAGTAGGGAAAAGCTGCCATGCTGGGATTCCATGACCCACACCAGCTTTAGGGAAAACCAGTCTTTGCTGGAAGAAGTTCTAGTTCTTTGACTTTAGACTCACTTCTTAAATTGCTTACCTGTATTTTATTAAAGAAAAGCTTATCCCACAAACTGTCATTTCTAATGATCCCATTTCGAACTTCAGCCTTTTTCCTCTTGGCAGCAAACTCCAGAATCCAGCGCTTGAGGGATGTGTCTGCCTGGCTGAAGATCTGTGGGGGACACAGGGGGACAGGCACCCAAGAGAGGAAACATCAGCAGCTCCTGTACCATCCCAGCTACCCCGTTGTGCCAGTGCCAAGTGGGAGGTAATGACATCAGCACTACAGTTAAATGAGACTACCCTGGGGCTTTGCTAGTGGGGAAAAATCCAGGAGTGGTTTGTTTGGCCCCATTCACTATTGTACATGCTGCTCCTCTGGGGAAAAGAGTGAGGATGATGGTGAAAGCTTTGACTGGATTTACAGGACTGCTATTTCTGTGTGATTCCCATGATAGGATTCAGTGAAATCTGAGCAACTAGGAACGAGTAGCTTCAATCCTAGAGCAGGTATCTGTGCTGGCTGAGGGGGCTGCATTTACTTCAGCTTAATCAGACACCAGCATGAACTTCCATCCCCACCAGCAAGAAACCCCCAGTGTCCATCCCTCTAGTGAGGCACCAGAACCCCTGATCCAACAGTCCTCACCTTGGGGAAAAATTGACTTAGTAGCTTGTGCTTAAGCTCTTCTTTAGAGGATAAGTCTTCTGAGGAATAAATATTCCCAGCTGGTCAAACAGGTTTAACATGATGACCAGACATGCCCGTCTTAAATACCTTTCAAGACCATCTCTTGGTTTTCAAGATTTCAAGATCCAAAAGCCTCACATTTACACTGCCTAAATCCTCATGGTCTTTTTGCAGTTCCTGATTTTCAGCTGTCATTGCCACTAGAAAGAGATTCAAGTTCCAAAACTGCTTGGAGGGCACGAGAAATCCTCATACATCCAGGTTTGACTGGGACAAAATCCCTTGTCTCTGGAAATGTCACTAGTAACCTCAGTGAGAGCAGGATAAGAGGCTAATGCAGGGGGATTTCCTACCATGCCTGCAGCCTCTGTGAATGGAAATACTACAGATTTACAACCTGGAGCAGCTCTGCAGAGGGGCAGGATGTGTTTGCAGCAAGGCGGGAGCAGTACAATCCGCTCGGGAAACCTCCAGGACTAAGGAGATTCTTTCACATAACTACCAACGAGACATAAACTTGATTATTACCAAAAAAAAAAATAGCAGAATGAAACTCACCTTATCATACATCCTGTTGAGGAGCCGTGGCACGACGGGGAAGATGGTGGGGCGCAGGGCTTTCATGTCCTCTGACAGCAGGCGGATGTCTCCCTGGAAGAAGCCAATCCGCCCTCCGTGGCAGTACACGACAGACTGATGGGAAGGAAAGGGGACACTTGTCACCCCTCTGCTGCTCATCCCCACAGCAGCGTCCCCACCCCGAGCGCAGATGGGCCTTGCCTGGAATTCTACTCTCAGTAAGGCAAAAATGGGATTTTAGAAATCTGTATAAATATAACCATAAGTTTTGCACTGGGTAGAAACGTGCGGATGGTGCTGGGCACGTAGAACTGGCAATCCACCCTCCACCAAACTGCCACCAAAGCTTTTAGAAGGGGTCTCCTTTCACCCCATGCATACAGGGATGGAGAAGTCCAAGTTCTCTGAAGCCCAGACCTACCACTGCAGCCCACAGCAGGAGGACCTGTTGTCAGTGAACGCATGCATTCTAAGGAAGGTTGTAAAACATACTCAGCAGCAGCCGATTTTTAGGTGTTAATACTTTAGTTGTGTTTAAATACAACAACGTAGACTACGTTAGCAATACAGTGCCTGGTCCTGTAGCCCAGAAATAGAAGCCCACTTCATGAAAGGTGATTTGCTTGTATGGAAACTACAGATCCAGAAGTTTTGCACTTGGAAAGATAACAGGCCACTTAGATCAGATCAGGACGGAGCCAGCCAGGCAGGCTGCCTGCCATGAGCTGACTGGCAGCTGGAGCAGCAGCTCTGGTAGTCAGGGCTGGTCACTGACTTGGTCACACTGGCATTTTGTCACTGGAGAGAGTTTGGAAACCAACATCCCTACCCTGCTTCTGGAGCCAGGAGGAGGAGAAGGCATCCTCAGCAAAACCAGGAGCTGATCCCAGCCTTCCCGAGCTCTGCAAGGGGTGGTCTGAGAATATCAGCTCCCTTTGGAGGACTTGTCTCCTCAAAATAACTAAAAAAGTGAAAAATTCCTAAAGAGACACTTAAGTCTTCTTGTGCTACTCCTAAAAATCTGTACTACTAACTGCTGTGTCTCACTGCTCTGTCAACCAGTGAGAGACTGTCTCCATCAGCTGAAACCACAGGAATTTTACACCCATAGTGTGGGTTTGGTGAACATCACACTGCTGCATCTGTGGGTTACACTGCCTGTGCACATGCTTTTTTTTTTTAAAAAAAAAAAGGAAAATATAATCAATGTGCTCATTGGGAATTATAAATAGCTACTAGAAAATTTTAGCCTTATAAAATATTTCTGTATAATTTTAACTGTAAGTTCCAGGAACTAAAAATGTTGGCTAAATCTAGGGAAGCTGACACACTGCTTGCTGTTCAGAATGTTCCTGAAAATTACTTTTTAGGCCTTTTGAAAAAATTATTTCTATTCCTGAACTGTTTTAGCAGGGAGGATAAAACTCATCACCCTTTGGAAGCCTGCCCCTTTTGATATGGTAATACCCTGTGAAATGAGGTTATTCCTAAAGTTTCTTTTCCCCTATCAGATGATGTTTTAATAACTATATTCTTATTTTCTGCCAAAGCAGTTTGCCTGAACAGTGGTGTCATACTGAGGAACTTGCCTTACAGGTGAAAAAAGACTGGGCTGAAATTCTCCAATTTTTCACGGATTTTCACTTCCAATTTGCAAGTTTTTTGACAGGGCAGAATCTATTATTTCTGGCACAGCTGTTACTAAGAAGCAGAAGGCTTGTCTGACTCAAAAATTATGCTTTCAGCCCAAAACAGTCCTCCCTGAGAAAGCACAGAGCTGCAACTGAACCCAGACCCAGTCTTCGCTGGATCAGTTTGCAGTTGGCAGCTTCTCAGGCCAGGAGAACTGATGGGATCATCTCACCTGACTCACCCAACACACCAATTACAGCACAAATTATCACCAGTCTTCTCAGAAGGAGATGGGAAAGCTCAGTTCTGCAGGCTGGCATGACTTAGCACATTTGCCATGATTTCATTATCTCACTATTTATTTCATTATTTCACTAGTTGCCATTATTTCCTGTGCCCACTGCACGCTGCCCTGCCAGGAGGGTCACCAGTCTCACACCATGATCTCAGTTCCCTCTTTTCCAGTGTCTGCAAGTGTTTTGCAGATCTGATTGTTCACTCCATAAAAGGATTTTTAAGCTGATGTAGAAAATGGCACGGAACAATTTTTCCTCCCACGATAGCTCATCCTAGAGTGCTCTGAAAAGCTGCCCCCAAAACTGTGCAGGGGGCAGTTTCTGCTCGTTGGCAAGGGGCCCTTTTCCAGCCTCAGAGCCACGGGTGTGAGCTGGAGAGCTTTGGGAAGCTCTCCTGGAATCACTCTGGACTCGTGGCCCTGTCACCAAGACCAGAGGCTGGGCTCTGGTGTTTTGCACGTGGCACTTCTGGAGTACAAGGTTTTTTTAGTGCTACAAGATATCGCTGGTTATTTAGTATTTTATTCATTTTACAGGTTTTTTTTGCGTGGAAAAAGACGATTTCCACTGACACTAGGACCTTACCTGTACCATTCTCTCAAACATGTGTGCTAAAGGCAAATAGGAAATGTGTACATCCTCACAAGTAGGAGACCACTGACTCTGGAAGAAAACACAAGGAGCCCCACGAGGCCTCGTCAGTTCAGGCAGGTTTCTTACCTGTATAACTCTTTCAAACATGTGAGCCAGAGGCAGGAAGGAGATGAGCACATCGTCCTGTCTCGGAAAGATCACTTTCTGCAGGTGAAGGGCATGGGAGACAGAAAGGAAAGAAACACTGACAGGAAGACAACAAGAAAGTCATAAAACAATAAAGAGAAAAATGGCACCAGAGGAGCAAAAGGGCAAAGATCATCGAGAGAGGAAGGGAGCAGCGTACGAGGTGAAGCGTTAAGCCACAGCGTCAATGGAGCTGGGTTAGCAGGAGGAGTAAAGAGCACGGAGATATACACAGAGGGCAGTGGAGAGGTCTCTCCATGGCAGGGGGCACGTCGCAGCCACACAGCTCACGCTGGAAACGGAGGCTCACCCTGGCAGAGAACTCAATTTGTGTCCTCTGCTTTCCACCCCGAGGTGATGGGAGCAGGACTTGCAGCCTCGGCTGCGGTGGGACCTGCAGGAGCCTCCTGGAGGGCAGTGGGATCTATGGGCATGTCATTTCCCCACAGGGCCCAGCAGAGAATCACCGTGAGAATCAAAGCTAGAGAGTTTTCTCTTTTCCTTCGGTTAATCGTTAATTTGAATCAGAATGTGTTGGAAAAATCAATAACTTTTTTGTCAGCTGCAAAAATGGATGATTGCTGTTAGGGTTTCTCGTCATTCTCAGTGATTCAAGTGGGATTTTAAGGGCATTTCTGCTGCCCCAACAGATGCAGGAGGGAAAAAGAAGGCTGGACAAATTATGCAAAAAATAATTGGCCAAAGTCTTCAGTTTGCCAAGGTTTTAATTGTCTTGTGGGCTGGAAGAAGCAAAGGCCCCCAAGGCCTTACCTGATCCATGCCCCAAAAGACAAGCAGCCTTTCTACCCACCCTTCCAAGGGTAAGGCTTGCCAGAATATTATGGATTAGAAAAACTGCAAGCAGGATTACCCAATAACTTGCAGCGAGGCCAGTGGTTAGTGGAAAATGGGTATAAAATCCATCAGCTGGCAGTGTGAGGAGTTTATACCCACTTTGCATCTCCACTGCTGTGACTGAATCGACAGCCCGTGACCTGGGACACGGTGGTGGGTGGAGGCACAGGAGCTTCTTCCTCAGGGAATGCTTTATTGAAGTTAAACCTGGGCAAGTCAGAGCTGGCTGTGCCCTCCCAGCCATTACCTAGCCAGGTCAGGCATGACTGACCACACGGGGGTTTTTGGCAGCTCCTTTCACATCATTCTGTGTGTCAGTCTGAGTTAAGCCATTAGGGCCTGCAGATCTATTTATATGTTATTTCATATTGGCCTCGTTTTCCACAAGCAGAGTGATGTAAAACCATTAGCATCACTAGCTGTGGGGTTTGTTTTTAACATAAGTGCCCAGACAGCAAATGATTTGGTTTTAAATCAGACAAAAATGATGACATCAAACAGTATTTCAGTTTGCACAGTTGTCCAGTTCAATGTAAAAATGAAAACAGCTTCTGGGCATTTGAGAACATCCTTAGAATAAAGCTCTAGGTTCACTCCAAAACATCTTCCATTTATAAAAAAAAAATCATTGAATTAAGCAATACTGGCACAAGATTATGCAAACAGCAAACCTACAGTATTTTAGGTATCTTTGGTTTATTAATTTATACTCCTTTCAAGTATTTTGCACTTTGCTTGATTTCATTACTGTGCTCAGACACTGCCCTATTGATGTGGGTCAGCCACAGGCATCTGCACCCTCACCAACACTCTGAAGCTATCAGATCTGCCACCACTTACACCACACTTAGGTCTCACTCTGAGATTAATCAGAGAGTCCCATTGCTCTTGGTGAACACCAAATTGCTGTGGACCACTCCTGGAAGATGCCAAGTTCCACTCGGCTCCCTCTAAATCAGTTCTCTTCCAAAATGAATGTTCCTGCCCTTTGAAGGCCTATCTGTGCATCAGCTTTCACTTGTGCCTCTGCTGCCCCTGACCCTGCAGAAGCTCCATGCTGCAGAGCCCAAGGGCTCCCTGCCACCAGCTGCTACGTTGGCATTTCATACTGCAAATCACTGGAGCCACAACCCTCCAGATACTTGGACACGTGAGCTCAGTGGGATTTCTCACACCACGTGTCCAAGTTTCTTTACAACAGTGGCCTGGAAATCTCAGAAAGTTCAAGGATTAAGGTGGTAAAACTGCAGTATTTTCAGCAAGGGGTATGAGGTAACCAATTGCCCATCCTCTGTCTACATCACTATGTTATAGAATTGTCTGTTTACTGAAAAAGTAGATTTAAAAAAATATTTGTTAGCTACAAGCTGTATGAAATCCTTAATAAGTTGTGCTAAATCCATCCCTGCTTCCTGAGTTGTTTCTAAACACAAGTTAACACTTTGCAAAAAAAAAAAAACATATTACAGGGTACTTGGCCAGTGTTGTGCTTTCCTAAAAATATGTATAACAGAAACTGAGATATACTTGAATCAATGAAATTAATCATTCTTGTAAAAAATGTGTATGTTCTCATATATATATACACACATTTTATACACAGAGAGCTTTCAAATAACTGAGGACGTTGTGTGGGCACAATGGGACACAAAGAGCACGTGTGGAGCCTGTACTCTTTTTCAAGCACCAGATGCAACTGTAGAAGGCTTGTTTGCTCTCCTAATTTTTCAAAAGGAGTTCATTCATTCATTTACAGGAGCCAAAACTGCTCCTCAGAAGCACTTTGCACCCTACAGAGCCAGGGAGATGGTGCTGGGAAAAGAGAATTTAATGCCCTCCAGTGCTGTAAGCTCAGACTTGCTTCCATTTCCATGGCTTTGGCCCTCAGAGTAAGAGAAATTTCACCTCTTATCTGCAAGAGCCCATTTCCAGCCCGTGCAGGGACAGAGCTCAACCCACACACTCTGCACATGGCAACATTTTCTAGATCAGGGTATTCACCTCAGTCACTTTCAAAAAGCCTGAAAAATCAGCAACCACGTTCCCGTGAGTCAGCATAGCACCTTTGGGATTTCCTGAAAGGAAACAAAGAGGGATTTTAGAAGGTGAGCCAGTAGGTAATTCCCAAAAGCTTAACAAGGATCAAAACAAGAAATGGTTAAAATATTGCCTTCTCTTCTTTAAAACTCACAGAATTTTTGCAGTCACTTCTGTGCAGTAGCATGTACCAAAAGCACAGATTGCAGTCCTCAAAATTGAATCAAATGAGACTGTAAACACAAATATTTCCATTGGAGACTCTGAACAATGTTTTCCACCAGAAACAGCCCTACTGCAGTTCATGAGAGCACTGGGATGGAGCTGCTTGATGAGCACGGCCATTGCTCCCAGCCTCTCCAGGCAGTCTCTATTCCATACAGATTTTGACTAAGAATGATCTTAAATACCAACAAATCCCATCTGAAAGGCTGTTAAGCTCTTACTTAGCTCACTGGATAACCTGAACAATGCAGAAAACAGGTAATGCATGGTAAAAATTAGCAACAGGAAGACCCTGTGAGACTGGAATGAAGAGAAGTCATTAATATTGTCATCATCAGAGCAGAGGTGTCCTGGAGACAGCACCAAACCCACGAGGGAGCTGCCAAAGCCCCCACAGCATGTCCCACCCCAGCAGTGGGCACTGCACCTCCAGCATTTCCCCCATCACCCACGCAGGCAGCTCCACACTGACAGTTTTTGCTTTTTCACCCTTTTTTTCTGAGCTGAGAATCCCCCTTCACCTCATGATACCATTGCTGGATTTTGTATCTGTTTGTATATCAAATAATGGTGTTAAAAAGCATGAATTGAAACCCCTTGAGCACACAAACCAGAGCCAAGGGCTGGTTTCAGTGCTGGCACACGGGGCTCTGCATGTCCTCCTGCCACAGCCCTGTCCCTTTTCATCACCCTCCAAGGGTTTATTGCTGAGAAGAAGGCGTAGCTCAGCTCAAATAAAGATTATTCTCTCTCTCTCTCTCTCCCCAGCATGTGTGTGGAGCAGATTGCTTTAACTCAACCAGGCCAGGGCAGTGTGGTTCTGCTGTGCCCTGCGGGAGCTGATCCAAGGAGCTTCACCTGCAGGTAACCTGCGTGGGCACAGGGGTGCCCCCAGCAGCTCTGCAATGCTCTTATGCTTAACCACGGCTGCAACAGCCTCACAAAACTGGAAATCAGAAGCCAGAATTGGCATTGTGGCTTCCTCAGATCAGGAAGGGGCGACGGTGGCTCGTGGATTGTTTTCAGCACATGAAAATATGCTTAATCCTCTTGGTTTCAGGGCTGCTGGCACCAGCACGTAGCCACGTGGCACATCCTGGCTCAGGATGTGGTGCTGAGCCCGGTGCCCTGCCAGCACTGCTGACACAGCTTCTGCTCAGCCTCTCAAAGAATGAAATAAAGGCCCAAACAAATGAAGTCATTATTGCACACATTTATTGCACTGAAGCAGGACATTTTGAACACAAGGTATTTTACTGTAAACTTGCTGTTCCAAGGGCCTTGGAGCAATGCAGTCCCGAGTGCTTGCAGAGGAGCAGAGTGTGCAGGGTGTTATTCTGCTCTCACACTCCTCCTCCTCCTCCAGAGCTCAGAGGTGAGGCTGGGGCTGGCAGGGCTGGCAGCC